GGCTGCAGCCTGCGATGTAGCCGGCAGCCCAGCTCCAGGTTGAGCTGTTGTTCAGCATCTTAGCTGTGGAGGGCAGTGTCACTGGCCCTCATATGTGGGATCTGATCCGGGGCCCTCTGGCATCCCAAGCCAGCTCTTAACCAACGTGCCACTCGGCCGGCCCAGGTGTTTTATTTTTAAGGAATAAAATTATGTCCCTTTTTGTTAACTTAAACAGTTGATAAGTTATATTTCCTTATTACTCTCTCCATCACTCACTTTCCCCACCCCAACCTTCTGACCAAAAAGAGAGAGAAGAAAAACCCTGTAAATTGTTCTCTGAATTTCTTTATAGAGAACAAAAATGTTCTCTAAAACAGTTTTTAATGTTTTAGAGAGAAACATGTTTTCCATTCTTAACAGTATGATGTAGGCCATTTTCATCCTAAATGATCACTTCCCTTTTGATTGCATGGTAGTATTATCATAAAGTGCATAATCAGTAAATTATTGGCATGTTGTACATGTGATCTGAGTCCATAATTTTACTTTATTTTAAAAAAGATAACCAACCTGTGATTGAAATTTCTCTGGCTGTGTTTCTTTAAATATTCTATATAAATCATCAATTTAGTCTGGGATGAATATGACTAAATAAAACCACAAATTTACTTTAAAAAGCTGGCAGGAAGTATATAAGTATTTACTTACATACATTTTGAATTCCATGTGCATAGATGGCACCATGTCCCCTAAGCGCTTCCAAAAATGAGTTTATGTATCGCTGTGTCTCTCCTTGCCACTGTGTTCTTCTAGAGCCTCCTGCTGAAATTCGAAGTTCTGAAACAGTTTCTATCATCTTTTTATTTGTGGGACTTCTACAACAGTAATAGTTACTACACAGTCTCTGAAAACCTAAATACCAACAAATGGGTCTCTATCTTGTTGGGAAGTACTTTGAATATTTTTAAAAGTAAAAGATCTTTAAATCCAGAAAGACAAGAAGTATTAGGAAAAAAGTTGTAAAGACCAAAATGAAAAGTTTGTCCTAATAAAGTAATTTTTCTTTGGGAAATGATTTAGAATTTCCAATTATATTTATCTATCTATAGCAAAACCTGTATAATTATTTAGTACAGCTTTTAATTATACTAATATTAATATTTTTACATGTATAAACCCAGGGATAAAACTAATAAAATGAATCTTTTATATGAACAACTGCTCATTTTAGTCATTGTTAACTTAGAGCACTACTTTCTAAATTGTATTTTTTTCCTGAATCTCTACAGACTTCTGTATTTTGTCTTATTTAAATATGAGTTGGAATTAGGGATAATTTTGTGTAGAAATTAAGATTTTAATGGGAGTCTCTGATATGAATATTTCCTCCCGCAAAATGTACTTTGTAGCAGAGAGAAGTACTTTAGTTAGAATTGGTTAGTTGCCTTGTGAGGCAGGCACATTTTGAAAGCTACTAAACTCATCTTAAAGAGAAGTTTATGCTATGAGAAGGGAGGTTCTTTTTGAATTATTAATACCGCTGAGTGTTTCCAGGAGAGCATAAGTCTCAACAGTTGCTCTCATGTATCTGACGTGTGCTGCTCACCTCACAACTCTAGGAATCTCAGTAGTCCCTTAGTGTTATATTAAATGGTGTTACCACCGAAGGCGTGGGAGTGAGCAGAAGAAGTCGCCCTGGTGCAGGGCAGGTGTCATTCAGGAAAGGGTTTGATTGTTAGTCTAAATTTGGAAATGTATTGATGACTTATACATTAAGAAGGAGAGGAAATAATATCTTGAATAATTCTTTGAAGGCAGCGGTTTATTTCTTCTTAGTTGAATTAATCCTGTCCTGGGCTTTGTTTGTTTTGTTTTGTTTTGTTTTTCTTTTACCATAAAAACTAATTCAAAGGAAGTAAGCCTTTCTGGAGACAAACATTTTTTGCTAAGGATTTAGTACTGAATTTTGCTAACTTTATTTTCCAAGGTATCTGATGGCCAAGAGTCTACACCACCGACACCTGCGCCCACTTCAGGAATTGTGGGTGCATTAATGGAAGTGATGCAGAAAAGGAGCAAAGCCATTCATTCTTCAGGTATAATTAGCATGTGTATATGTGTAGTTAATGAATTTGATTGAGTTCTACTCTTTTTCTTTTTCTTTTATGACTCCATCTGTGCTAGCTTTTCCCTGCTATCAATAACTTATTGATGTGGATTCTGGGGCATATTTTGAAAAGTTGTCAACCACTGTGACTAATCTGAAGCTTAATAGGTGTCAGGATACCACAGCCATGACCATAAATTGGAAGAACAGCTTTGGAGAAATGGCAGTTTCTTTTCCTGTCCCGGACAGTACAGATAGAATGCTGGCAGACAACCTCCAAACAGGCTCGCAATTCCCGGATCTCATTCCTGACATTCCTGTGACATAAAAAAATCCGGGCAGTTCCTGGATTTATGAGAGTTCAGGCTGAGAAATTAGATGATTTGCACTGTTTCTGGAGCTTGCTAAAGAATCCTAGTTTTTTGGGGTTTTTTGCCTTTTTTGTCATTTCTTAAAAAGGTTTATTTGAATAAGCTACTGCCTATTATGAGGTTATTATTAAGCATATGCACAACACATGTAAATAAATACTGCTTTTTAAAAAGAGCAAAAATATGGATTTTGCTGACGTAGGAGTTGAGGTTTACTGAAGAGCTTCTCCAACATGATGTACTCGAGTCAGATCTTTGCTCTTATTCAATCTGCCGTTTACTCATTGGACCTCAGTGTTCTTACTTGCTATGTGGAGAGAATTCATAAGTCATATGGTTTCTGTGAGGATTAAATAATATAATATGTAACTAACCAGCACATTTCCCAGCACACAGTAGGTGCTCAAGAAATGTTCTTTCCCTTCCCTTTGTTTCCCTAAGGATGTAGATGTCTGCGATCCTCGAGCAACATTTGTTTCCCTTAAATTGGCGTATTCCCTTACTGTGTTACAAAGACAGAATAGGCAGATTCAGCCCACAAATATTTATTGTGTAATAACTATAAAACAGTAAAACAACAAAAATCCCTGTCTTCATGGAACATACATTCTAGTGAGAGGAAAAACAAACAATAAACAAAATAAGTTAGAAAAATACATAACATGTTAAATGGTGATAAATACCAAAGACAAAACTTAAGTGGAAAAGGGATGTATGAGGAGTTACAGGCAGCGGGAGGGAAGTTCCGTTGGAAATGGGCTGATGCCGCCTAGCTGTGGTGACGTTTGAGACAGGACCAAAGGAAACGATGTAGAACGTTGGACCAAAGGAAACGATGTAGAACGTTGGCAGAGTGTGTTCAGGTGGCAGGAGTGCGAGGTTCCTGAGGCTGAGAAACAGCGAGGGGGTCAGTGTGGCTGGAGCAGGGGGGGGGAAGCATGCGTGGGAGGGGCCGGTAGTGCGGCTGTGGAGGGGACTGCGGAAGGCTCTTAGCAGAGGCAGGGATCCGAGCAGGACGTGATGGAGGCGCCAGTGAGAAGGGGCCGGACCCCGCTTGTGTTTTGAATGCAGATGTCATTGGGTTTGCCCATGGAGTGGAAGTGACGTTTGAAAAAGAGGGAGGAGTGAAGAGTGACTCCCAAGATTTTTAACCTGAGCAACTGAAAGGGTGAACCTTTCATTGGTGGAGTGAGCGAAGACATAGGAAGAGCAGCAGGTTTGAGAGGAAAGAGTAGGAGTTTGGTTTTGTACATATTAAATTTAAGACACATATTAAAAATTCAAATGTAGGTATTGAGTAGGCATTTGGTTATGAGTCTGGAATTCAGGGAAGAGGTCTGGACTCTTAATATCAATTTGCATGTCGTTAAGATATACATGGTATTTAAAGGTATAGGACTGGGTCTTATCAGCAAAAAAGTGGATGTAAATAGAAAAAAATCTAATAAGATCTGAGGGCTGGAGAATGTGGTATGTTAAAAGCAAAATGAAGAAATTTTTGAAGGAAGACTGGGTGGTCATCTGGATCAAATGTGTCTGATAGGTCAAGAACACGAAAATGGAGAATAAATATATTATTAAGCTTTAGCTTTAGCGACGGGGCGGGGGTAGGTCGTTGGTGACCTGGAAAGAGCAGGTCAAGAGGGACTAGGTGGGTGGGAGGGGCCTGGGTTTGGGGACTGCCTGTTGTTTCTGTCATGGCTTCCTGTCGATGAGGCTCCTCTTGTCACTGAGTTATGCCTGGAAGTGGTAGCTTACCAGTATGTCAGCTGTATTTTTACAGCCTTTCTTTTAAAGACCAACATTGAAGGGGCCTTTGTTTTCCTAGACTTTTTAATTCTCTGAATGTTTATGCAGGAAACATTCGTCTGCTAGTTTACGTTCTTCTAAGCAGCAGGTGACCAAACTTTTCTCCTGAATATGTGACATTCTGACCTGTTTGGTGCTAAAAAGTTAGCTGAACTGTTCTTTTAAGACATAGCCATGGATGTTGACATTACTATAAAAAATATGATTGCTTAAATTACAATTGTTGGTGAAATATTTGCTCACTCGACCTTTTCCACCTGGTGTGTGTCAGATCAGATCCAGCAGTAATTTGAACACCTGTAGTAAGTCTCACTTTATCCACACCCGACCCAGGACACTTTGAAGGCAGGAAAAGTTGCTTATCCATCGAGGTATCACTGAATAAATACAGTGGCTGGCACAAAGAGAACATTATTCAACTGTCAAGTCATGTGACAGAAGTTTGTGATGGCAAGAGAATTGATTAAGACTGTTGGGAGTAAACGCAAGTGACTAACCTCCGCAAAGTTCGGGCTGAATAGGAAAAGAAAAGGAAGTAACTGCAGATGGAAAAGTCACATGCTCAGGGGAGGATTCTTGGTAGCTGCTAATGTCAGAGAAATAAATCAAAGGTCCTCCTGCTGCTCAGAGCCGGGGAATGTAAGGTTACTGTGAAATGTGGGATCATGAGAAACCATTCTGTTACAAAGCTGTGGGTTCTGCTAACTATTATCCTATAGTAAGTTTTTGAAAGACATAATTAACATTATATAATAGCCATGCTGATATAATGAAGGTGTAACATGGTTTTTACTTATTCTTGGACCCATTTCTTTGAACTGTTCCTGTTCCTGTGGTAGTCCGCCACGATAGAATTATCAGCTATTCCTCCTGCTCACCATGGGGCTGATCAGCGCCCCTCCGCACCACCCTCTCAGACGCTCAGAATCGTGCTTGGTGCCTTCCTCCAGGTGGATTCTGTGAAGCGTGGCGAGCAAAAGCTTTTGGCAGCAAATTGTTTCTCTTACTAGAAAAATAAACAGAGGTTAGCATGAAGTTGATTAAAGCCCTTTCCAAATAAATTATGTAACAATTTAGAGCTAACCATCAGACTTAAATTTTAAAAGTAATAGTAATAACTAAATTATTATTGTCATTACTGTTATTATAAAAGTAAAAACTTAGTTTGGGGCAAAGGGAAGATATCTTTGCTTTTCTTGGCTTCTGTTAATTTCCAAGTTGTAATACCAGAGTTCCAAGTTTTTCTTTGTAGGCGCCTTCAATCATTTTATAGGAGGAAAAAGATTTTTTTGTCTTCTGTACCTCTAGCCCACAGATATGTCCCATATTCAGTTCCTGCTGGCTCTTGACTAAAATAAAGCATTTTCAAGTGCAGTTGCTTAGCTGCTGTCTCACTTATAAACTGGACCTTCATGGGTCTTAACGAGGTATATAGTTTTAAACAGTAATTATGGAAAGTTGGCACAAGTCTATAATAATGAATTTGGTGACATCTAAATACTTAGTCAACAAGTATCTATTGAGCAGCTTCTCGGAAGCCCTGTTCCGATGCTAAGGATTCATTGATAAATGCGACAGGCAAAGCCCTTGCTGTCGTGCAGCGTCTATTCGAGTGCGAAGACAAATGTGTAAACATCTGTAAAATGTGTAAACGTAAGAACTTCAGGTACTGGTGCGGGTTGTGAGGATAAGAAAATGGGAGGGTTACTGATCGTGGGGGAGGGTTCTACTTTACAAAGGATGCTCAGAAAAGGCCTCTCTGCGGAAGTGGTTTTTAAGTAAAGCTAAATGATGACAAGACTCAGCCAGACAGAAGGAAGAGCTACTGCAAAAGCTCTAAACAAGAATAAACGTGGCATGTTTAAGGGACAGAAAGGCTGTGCATCTAGAAAGAGTGAATTGAAAGAGAGGGCATTATAAGGAAAGTTTGGCGCGGGGCAGACAGTAACTGGGCAAATCACGTAAGGTCTTGTAGAGTGAGGTAACACATCAGATATTATCCAAATAACAATGGCCAGCCACTGGAGGGCTTACACAAGGATAGAAACATATTTTTAAGCTTAGAATTTAAATATCACTCTATGTGCTGTAAGGCAAATGGACTATAGAATTGCAATAATCCAAGCAAGATATGATGGTGGTGTGGGACTAGCAGTGGGAGTGTTGAAAAGAAACAGACTTGATGGATGGGATGTGGGTGGACCATGAAAACAGAGGAATCAATAGTAATTTCTAGGTTTGTGGCCTAAACACCTGAGAGAATGGTAATTGTCGGGACAGACAAGTGGTGGGGAAGCAGGTTGAAGAAGGAGATAAAACTTGAGAAGTTTTGAGTTTGAGAATCCATGTGAAGAATACAAGAAGGCGTTGAATTTGCTGTATGTGAGTCTAAAATTGAGAGACGCCAACCTAAATGTGATTTTACACATAAACACACAGGTTGAAATTTGTGACATAGATACTAAGGGATAGAATCCAAGTCTTCCGACTCCTCGCTCTAATCGAAAACTCATCAGCAGACGCTTCAGATGTATTTTATGAGATTCATTTAAACTATCTTAGTAACTACATTCCTCTAGGTGTCAAATGGTTTGTGTTTCAGAAGTTGAATAATCAGAAAATCACCCAAGAATTATGTAAAATTTTACTTATACATAGGTTTTTAATTGGTTGTCTTGATGATTTTCTTCTAGATGAGGATGAGGATGAAGATGACGAAGAAGATTTTGAGGACGACGATGAATGGGAAGACTGAGCTATATATTATATATATATTTTTAAGGTGAAGTACTAAACACTACTTTCTGTCTATGGATTCTGTAAAATTATCATGTAAATGTTCTACCAATTTGCTGTATATTTTTGTTGCCTTTTTTGCTTTTTTTTATTAATCTGTGCAATACCTCATTTAATCTGTAAAGGTTTGTCATAATCCTCTACGAAGCTACTCCCTGTTGCGGTGTGCAAGTTTACACCAGGATGCTCACTTAATTTGTGAATATTTTTCATTCCATCAACAAGGGAGTTTAAATATTATATGTGAGACTGACAAAAACCTTAGTGTAATTTAGTTGTAATGCCAGAAGGAAGACACTATTTTCATACCCTACTTTTTCTGTACCTAAATTTTCTTATTAAGATCTAGTATAGCAACTACATTCTTTTTTAAGTGATGCAAACCTTAGTTTATTTAGCCCCTTGGTTTTGAACACAATGCTACGTGAATGTTGAAACTGATACATTGCACAGTTCTCTAGACATCCCCACACTGATGCAGTTTCTCAGATGTTAGCAGTGTGGTCTGCAGAAATCTACGGAGATGCTAGACTGGGAAATGGGAACACACCTCTGACAGCAGCACTGCCTGTTGCTGGGTGGCAGTGGCGTTTGGAGGCTGGACTCAGGAGCCCTCACACACCTGTACTTGACTGAAGTGACTCTTATATTACAGCAAATGTGGCAGGCTCTTTTGGGCAAAAATTCATGAAATATTTTTGGTATTATTCCGAAACAAATGTTACGTAAAGTGTTCGAGTTGGGGGCGGGTCTTAGGGATAATTTTCTTCTAGGTGAATGAGACTATACATCATGATTACTTCAATATTTGTTTAAGTATGCTATAAAAATCAGAACGTTATAAAAATGATACGAAATTAAGTATTTTTATTTTGCCATCCACATGGATTGAGGTATTCAAAAATAACAACCGTAAAAATCTAATCTAGTTGGCAAAGCTATACACTGTAATGCTGAACCTACTATGCTATTTTTTTTAATTTTTATAATTTCTCAAGGTTTTTGTCAAATGTCAGGTGAAGGGTCATATTTGAAACACGTAACTCAATGATAGATTTAAAACAAAAAATAAAACTTTACAACCTGCACATTTGTTACGTATACTAAATGATATGTTAAAATTAGGGGTTCCTTGCCTCTCTACAATACACTAACCTGCCTAAAGGTGGTTTTCATATTTATAGTGCTAGTTGTCATACCTACCTACTTTAAATTTTACGTAGAAAAATGATCTGATTTAAATACAGACGTATTTTTTCTCACATTGAGTCATGTGCAGAATGTAGTTCCAAATGTGTTTCATTACTGTAGTCACAATATCCCACTAAAAATGAAGCTCTCTAGAATTATACCGACCAAAATCTAGTATTGGCATGATCTTGACAGGCTGGCCCTGCGAGATGTGGCTTGAATTTTAACCAATTATCACATGATCTCTCGTGATCATGCATCTAGTTATCATAAGAAATAACTTAAAAGGTTTTGTTGCTGAAAGCAGTAAGCGGTGCAGTAAAATAGTTAAGTTATTCAAAGAATGTTCCGTCTTTGCAAGAGTAATTTAAGCACATGGGAAAGATTCTAGACTTTTTGTTTTTTACAAAAACAGTGCCCTCTGCTGCTGGAAACCTTTTTCTGCTTCCTCTAGTTTTTATTGTGGCTTGAGCTCAGCTAGTCTGGTGTGGATGAGGCTGGACCGCTACCAACCAATAAAATTAGGAATTTGTGCAAATGACAAATAGAACATTATAATTACTTTAAGAGTGATAGTAAACATTTTCCTTCTTCTTTTTCTTTTTAACATTATAAAAAGCATTTTAAATATCCTCGAAATGTCTTTAAGGTAATGCCAACTTAAGATCTCTCTTAACTTTTGGCCAAGGAATTCAGGGTTTTCCAGCTCACTTTGGTATGATAAATATTTACCAGGAGCTGCTCTAAACAGAGGATATCAATTCTTTGACTTGGCAACACAATTTTAAACTTGTAAGATGGGTATAAAATTTGCCAAAGGTAATTGAGTTTATTCTTCTTAAAGAGAAAAAGACTTTTTGTTGTTGCACAAAGTCTAAATTGCTATTGGTTGAAACCCAGCAGCTGTGGCGTTCAGTCCGGGCATGATGCCGGAATCGCTTTAGACATAAAGGTTGCATGCTTCCGTCCTCCACCGCAGTGCACTGTGGGCAGTTCTGTACCTGTGCATTGTCCGGCAGCCTCCTGTATGTACTCCAGCTAAATGATTGTCTGACAGCCTTCACATTTAACAACCTAGCATGAGGCTTTTTATATCTAAATGCTACGTGATAGACAATTTCAGCTAGCCACATATTGTATGTATGAGATTCATAAACACTTTCAATCATTCATTTCCATTTATCAAATGAAATTTTGTTTAGTATGTGAATTTTTTTTGAAATGTATAGTGGATAGGATGTTGCACTGGTGGCAATTCATCATGGAGCATAATAAAATTAATTTGACCCAAATATATAAAATAGCATGTGGTTATTGTTTATTGTTAAGAAATTAAAATGGGTAAGAAATCTCTTCAACAGCATAGTAAAGATACACGGCAGTGAATAATAATGTCTGACTTTTTCAGCAGACAGCATGCTGGAGAGTTAGTGTGCCGTTAAATAAACATGGGGAGCAGAAGAATGTCACACCCTGTCCTGTCTGCTGGGAAACTTGACAGCTGCTCCCAGCTCCCCTGGAAGCCCCTGCTGTGGTTCAGAGCATTCACGTTGCAAGGTCAAAGCGAAACTGCACATAGCAGAAATGGTGAAGTTTCCTAATGCAAAATGATACTGGCATTTACTGGTATCGTTTTCAGTAAAAGCCAAATATAGCAGTTCATGTGGGACTGAAATAGTTCTTCATAAACGGTACTAAAGATGGTATTTACTTTAAACAGGAAACTCAGTTTTTGATAAATAGAATTTTTTGTTCTGTTGACCCTGGCTAGCACAAGTGGGTGTCTAAAGATTAAGTTATGGAATCCAGTGTGTAGGATGTTACAAAATGCCTTCTTAGAGCTTTAGCCAAATTTAACAAACATCTCAAGAGTAATATGTTCTATTAAAAAGTTGTTTCTATTGTACAAATGTGAACACTTAAGAATGTATTAACTAAACTTGACCAAAAAATTTTAAAGAGAAAAGAGCCACAGAATTTCTCTTGTCACATTTTATTTATCTTATCAACAGAGAAATTCCTGAAATAACTTACTCTTTTTTTAGGACTGGCGTTCTTAAAGGACAACTATAGAGATAAAGCCTGTTTATAGTACAGTAGGAAACACTTCATGCAAAAGTTGAGAAATTTTACTTTGGATGCTTTTTTTATTGATATTGTCACCTATTACCTCCCAAACACAGCATTTTCTCATGTATTTTTTTTTTAGCTTTGTTTTTCATGAAGCCAGTGAGAAAAGGTATAGTAAATTAGTGGTTATGAATATGATGGGAAAATATTGTGTTGTCAGAAAAGTCATGACGCATTTTTGCAATGGAAAACAGAAAAAATGCGTGATGACTTTTCCAACAACCCAATACTTTGCAGCTCATGCTAAGACTGCTTTCTTTTTTTTGTTTTTTAAAGGTTTTTATTGGGGAATTGGGGGGAGGGGAACAGACAAATTGCTATCCTTTTGTTCTTCAGTCTAGTTGTGGAGGACATTGATTCACTGGCCCAAGTTGGCACCATCATTGCGCTCTTCCCGGGCGAGGCAGATCAGTCGCCGGCTTCTGGGCGGCCGCTCACTGCGGCTGCTGGCCGCTCACGCTGGCTGCTGGCTACACATGGTAGCCCATGGCAACCCACCTGCTGTTGCTGGCGACTCACGGCAGCCCAGCTCCAGGTTGAGCTGTTGTTCAGCATCTTAGCTGTGGAGGGCAGTGTCACTGGCCCTCATATGTGGGATCCGAACCGGGGCCCTCTGGCGTCCCAAGCGAGCTCTTAACCATCGCGCCACTCGGCCGGCCCTGCCTTTACTTCTTGATGTGATGTATGGCATCCTCCATTTCCGTGAGGGAGCCCATTGGAAATTTTGACCTTATAACAAAACGTCTAGATGAATCAGCCATAGATTTTTGTTCTCTAATTATACATCAGTGGTTACACTAACTATTGATACAGTATTTAATTTCACACAAATCCATTGTAAATCTAAACTGGTCATGTGCACCACCAGCAAGATTGACAAATCAAGATATGAATAGCACACAATTATTTTGAGTAAAATATAGCAGATAGTAGCTTATAGGTGGTTTTTAGGTTAGTCAGATATTTTTGTACAAAATTTTCTTATACTTACTTTAGTAAGGATTTTTTTTAACTTTCTATTTAAAAGTTCAGTTCTAATATCAAATTGCATTATGGCACGTGAAGTTCCAAGTGTCATATTGACACTATTTCCTGTCTTGAATTGATTGGCATATCTTGACCCAAATTCAGTTTTATCTCAGTTATTTCTCAATGTGTGAGGATTTTCATCAAGGCCTAAGTATAAGAATTTTTTTAAGCACCAGTATCACCATATTTAAACAACTGTTTATTAAGACTAAATATGTGATGGGTATTAAATATAGCAGTGGGGGTAAGATAGGCCCCTCCTCTCTTAAATCTGAAATACAAGTACTTATTTCAGAGCTGAGAGGCAGTCGGAGACCATCAGGTTCCATTAAGCCTCCTCTCATTTTCCATGTGAGGGTACCCACATTTCGAGTGGTCGAGGGGCTGGTCCTAAGTCAGTTTACAGGAGCTATTATTAAAAGCCAGATCTGACTTCTAGTTCAGGTGCTCTTTTTCATGCACCATATACTGTTTATCCTTGTTTTCTCTATTTTTCTTGAATTATGGATAAATTGCAGATTTACTTTATTTCTGGAAGATTGATGGCTGCAAACTTCGCCCTTCTTCACATGTCATCTGGGTGTTGATAGAAGCCACCAGCACTGTGTTCCTGTCCGTGCCTGAGAAAGTTGGCTAGCTACAGGAGCCAGCCTCAGACTGAGGCATGTGATCGTATTTTGGCTCAGCGATGGCGGCCACCCCACATTGTCCCAGCATTTGGTCATCTCCAGGCAGCCCTGTCATTCAGCACTGTGTTGACATGAAATTGAACTTACCATGCTACATCCCAATTATTTTTGTTAGTTTCCTATGGGTGTTAAGGGGCCTTTATTTAAACATACGTATTTTGTAAGCTCACAATAAATTTGCCTGGCAGAAAATTAGTTTGAGAATGTATTAATCTTTCTGCATAATTGTCAGTCAACAGCTGCACTGTCAAGTTTAAAGACCGGGAGTTCTTCCAAGGAGCATGAGGACAAACGGAACAGTTTAAATCCAACTTCCTGGTTTTCTTAGTCTGAAGAGGGGAGCTTCTAATTTGGTTGCCAATACTTTACCTTTATTGGAAAAAGACAGGGAAATAAAACAGTGTTTGTGGAGTTGAAAGAAACAAATTAAGTGGAAGGAAAAGGTGTCCAGTTAAGCTGCTCATAATGTGTCAATTGTGTAGTTGTCTACAAGACAACTCTAATTAGCCCCTTAAATCAGCCTCTGAACCTGGAAAGAATCAATCTCTCTCTCTCTCTCTCTCTCTCTCTCTCTCTCTCTCTCTCTCTCTCTCTCTCTCTCTCTCTCTCTCTCTCTCTCTCTCTCTCTCTCTCTCTCTCTCTCTTTCTCTCTCTCATCTAGTTAGGAAGAAGCTCATGAAATAGTACATTTGGTGTCTTTTGAGCAAGGATGTAAATATAAAAGGGCCATCTTTTTCTTGGTAGTATACTCAGCTAAAGCTCAGTCTACACCAGTTCCTTCAAATGGAAACCCAAAAAATTGTTTTCTTTTTTTAAAGACTTTGTCGAACTTTGCCATGGATATTTGCTGAAGGTTGTGGTGTAGTTAACATGAATAGTTGAGTAAGTATGAGCAAATCTAGTAAGTATCATCCTACAGTTTACAACCACTTTCCAAGCCACCTCTAAATGGAACATCTTACAATTCTATTTAAGTGGCCTTCCATGGACAACATGGTTGAATAGCTGGATGCTATAGAACATGTTTATAAGGACAAGTTCAAGTAGATTCTGAGCCAGATGATTGCTTTTGATCTGCACCAGTGCCCCAAAGTTTTACAGCCAGCTTTCCTGGGTCAGCCTGACGATTTAGACCAGGTAGACCACGTGCAAAGAGAGAAATTCTAGGTACCACCTGAGCCCTTCCAGCATCCTTTTTACTTTTCCACTTTCATCACCTTGTTTTGTAGAGCCCAAACAACAGAAAAACTGGAGTCACTATATTTTGTACATACATTTCTTCATTTCCCAATTATCTGAACACGAAACCAAATAATCATCACACTGGCTATTCCGATAGCCTGCTTAGGAGAAGAGGAGTGGGGAGAAACAGATACTGCGAATTTGAGTTCAGTGTTGATTCTGTAAAACTAATTGTTATGTTCAGTTGAACTCAAATGGGATTTGGTGGGTTGTTGAAAATGATACCTTGTAGGGGGGAAAATGTTATATTCTTTTCATTGGATGGCTGGTTAACACTTAGATGTAGCATTATCTTCCTACCTTGGTCTTGGTTTGAGATATATGATGTTAGAATTGCAGTAATGACCCCCACACATGAGTTGCTTTGACATTAAAATTTGGGAAGACCTTTCAGCATGGGCAACCCATTGCTATGTCTTTATGTTGATAAGATTTACCACAAAATTGAGGATATGGATGAGTATTGTAAAAACTAAAGAATTTTGGGCTGATTGAGTGGCTCAGTTGGTTAAGAGCTCGAGCTCTGAGCAACAGGGTCGCCAGTTTGATTCCCACCTGGGCCAGTGACTCTGAGCCCCGAGCTGAGCTGCCGCTGAGCTGCCAGCAGGTGGCAGGATGGCTCAGCTGGTAAGAGTATGTGGTTCGACGCTGCATAGGATGGTGGGCTACGCCCACCCGCAACTAAGATTGAACATGGTACCTTGAGCTGAGCCGCCGCGAGCTGCCAATGGGCGGCCGGATGGTGACTGGACTTCGAGCTGAGCTAACTGCACCCTCCACAACTAAGATTGAAGGACAACTTGGCTGTTCCCCTTTCCCAATTCCCCAATAAAAATCTTAAAAAACAAAACTAAAGAATTTTTTTTGACATCTTTGCCTAAGAAGTTTTCAAATACACAAATATCTTAAATATTAAGTACAGTTTCTTGTTTTATGGTACCTGCCATCTCCTCCTCCTTCCCTCCCCATCACAAAAATCACAGTAACTGTCAGGTAGTGAAGAGGATTAGCTTTCACATGTTTGGGTTCTTGAAACGTGTGCATTGATATTGGGGTACGGGAAGTACAGTGAAAAGGCCGTGGGCTTCTTGTGCATAACAGCAAGAACACCTTCAAATATTGGTCCTGCTCTGTTGGGGCAACACATTTACCAGCCTCTACAAGTGTTTAATGAAAACTTGCCCCAGAGAGCACAGTCAACAGCTG